TTGCTCTTTTCACATAGTGCTTGACAGTAGGAGCCACGAGCCAAGGCGCTGTTCTATGTGTTAATCTAATGTTTTCCTAGATAGAGGGGCCTGTGAGATGCCCTCAGATGTGCCAAGGAGTTGGAAAAGGCAATTAAGGAGCTAAGTACGTGCTCCGTGACGGTCTTGGTAAGTGAAAATTCAGGAGATCTATGGATTCACTTAAATTTCTGGAAATCCACGTAAGTAAATGAAGGGGATCCAGCGGAAGCTGCATGAAGCAGAGAATATTGTGGCAACTGCTTCTCTGCATGCAGATTTTCTACTGTGTGCAGAAATGTCTAAATCTCTGTCTAGAGATGGGAAGAAAATCTCAGGACTTGGAAGAAAATCTCTCAGGGTTTGTGTGTGTGTGTGTGTGTGTGTGTGTGAGCACTGAGGGGATTCTCTCCTGGCCTCATGTGAGTCGTGCTGAAAATACCTCTTCACAGAGGAATGAAAGAAGATAGCAAAAGAGTATTTGTGGCAGTCAGGCTTCTCAGCGTCAGTTCTTTCAGTATTTATGTTGTTGCTTTTTTTGTTTCCATACTAATGAACTCCTTAGGAACGCACAACACATTTGAAGATAAAATTCCTTTCATTTGCTTCCAGAGCTTGAGCAGAGGCACTTGGCTAAAATATACAAGTCTTGCACGTGTCCTTGTAAAAATGGCAGGCAGGCACATCTATGCCTTTGAGGAAGTAACTTTATTGCGCCTTGCTTCTGTCTGTGAAAACTCGGTAGCAAAGTTGAACCAGCTTTTAGATAAAGTTGCTTTGTTTAACTCTTTAATGTGTCAAAGAGCTCAAGCCTCCCTTAAGCACATGCCATCACCTTCAGTAGGTTTATAGTTTATTGGGAGTCCTAGTAAACTGTAGACCTCCCTGCGAGCCTGCTCAGCTGGCAGTTCCTTAAATACATGAACGTTATTAATATCCCATATGGAGCTATTTGCCTTTATATTTCCCTAGGATTTAAGCAGCAGCAGCGAACGGCCCTTTGGGTGTAGCAGAAACATGTAACAAAACTCTGCCGACACGTCCTCACAGTGTCACTTGAGGCAGCAGATGATGTGGTTATCATTTCTTTTCTTTTTCATCAAAGTTTGCTTAGTGCCCGTTTGCTGATAAGGTTAAGGGGGAAGATATCCCTGAACGCAGGTGGCCTCTTCCCACAAGTCGGCAAATATTTTATTCACTCGCATTTCTTTGCCTGGAATATGTGTGGAATAGTTGGTGGGGGCGGAAAGCTTTTTCAGATATCTTGACTGAATTCCAGTTAACCTTTTCCTTTACTGGACTAGCTTGGGCAGTTGTTTCTGTGAATAAATAATGCAGAATTTGTGTATGAAAATACAACTTTTTTTTCTATTTTTTTTCTTGACAATAAGGCTGCTCCTGGACTTCTCCAGAGATAGGGGTTAAGTTCTCACTGGTTTGAAAGCCTTTTTTTGACATATTCTATGGGCTGCACTGCTATAGGGTTTTCAAATCTGTCCATCTCTGTTGGAAAACACTCATATTTTGGGCTATTTCTCCCATTAGATAAGGTTATTTCCTCATAATCTGAAGGAAAAAATATTGGTTGGGGAACAAGGTTTCGTACTAATCTCTTGTCTTAGTTGGTGCTAGAAATTCAGTTGCACCTTTTTCCCAGCCTTTGGCTCCCGGGAATTCTGTTTTCCCTCTCCATTCTGGGCCCTTTTTTGAGACCTGTCCCAACTCGGGCCTGTCATCCCGCCTCGCTGCCCGCCCCGCGCCCGCTGGGTGCCCGTCCCACTCGGCCCCCGCTCGGCCCCATTCGGCCCCGGCTCGACTCCCCGCTCGGCCGCATTCGGCCCCGCTCGGCCCCCCATTCGGCCCCGCTCGGCCCCCCATTCGGCCCCGCTCGGCCCCCCATTCGGCCCCGCTCGGCGCCCCATTCGGCCCGCTCGGCTCCATTCGGCCCGGCTCGGCGCCCCATTCGGCCCGCTC